AACCTAATGCATAGTTAATTGCACTTACTGTATACTGTATCATATACAGGCCTTTTGATTCCATCTTGATATATCACAGAAATAACAACACTGGCTGTTGTGTATTACTCTGGTGAGAATCATGTTACTTTTGGTCCATTTCAAGCATCAATTATGCTGTGTTCATGCTCAATTGCGACAAACCCCTGACAGAGAAGACTTTTAATGGTTGATCAGTTCTTTGACCTCACCTAATGTTTGGAACTATAAATGAGAGCAAAGATGTTTGGAACCAATATACATACATTTATGTACATTTATATACATAAAAAAAAACAAAAGAACTATTTACACCTGAGCTGACTTAATTGAATATTTCCTGAACTATTTTTAGAAATATCACATACAATTATGCTATAGTAATACATGATCATTAATATTTAAACTAAAAAAAATGTACAAAACAAATTGGACTGATAATTCTGAAATTAACAGGTACTTTTACTTAATATTCATGACACTGATTGTACACAATTTAATGTACAATCACGTCTCTAAAATGTACACGTGCAGGTTTCTAATTAATTACAGCACGCTTTGCAATAGTCTGTTACAAGTAACTTGAGAACACCTACCTCTTTAGGCGAAAGAATTGAAATGTAGTCCTCGTATATTAGCCTAGCCTTTTCTTCTACGACACTTTTGTTGGTTTCATTTTTTAGGTCTTCACAGGCTAGCCAAAACAACATGTTCTCCTCGCTGAACTCCGTCCGTAAGAACTCACGAAACGCATTCCGTCCCCCAGCACTCCTCATGAGTTTGTCAAATGACTGGCCCCATGTACACACCTCTTCCAAAGTTGGGTTTGGGCTTCATTTCAAGGAAAGGGAGGACAAGACATTTTGATAAATGGTGAAAGTCTGTTTTTTTCATTTTGGAAACAAGCTGAAACAATCCTAATTTAAAACACCAGCCCATGAATGTGGTTGACCATTTTATTTCATTGATAATATTTTATGCCGTGCTTTCTAGTTGCAAAGGACCTGCATAATTTGACAAATATTAATTTCCGATTTCTCATTAACAGTAACTGTACTGCACTACAAATTGTTAGAAACCTTTAGAGACCACTTATCTTTGCTTATTCACTGTTCTTTTTTCCTGGGGAAGGGAAATGCATGGAGACTCACAGGGGATTCACAGGTGAACTAGAATTACCTGATACACCTGAGTCAGAAACCTCAAGCTGACAGAAAGAAACCAGTCTGAGAAATAACTAAGACAACAGCACAGTTTGTAATTAGTTATTCTGTGATGTGTTGATTACCTAATCATTAACAACATGATATTGTAGATTGACATTTGGCAATGGTAAGGTCGCCCATGTTCCCTCTAAAGTAACTGCATAACATGTTAAAAGTGCACCAGAGCATTTTAGAATCATTAAAGCAGACACAGCATGAACCCAAATACATTTTAAGTAAGTCTGTATTGTATAAGTAATTCATATTTTAATTATTTTTTTACCTTATTGTACCTGTTGCATATACTTAATATAACAACAACAGTAACAATAATTAAAAAAAAAGATTTTTTAACAGCAGCAGATTCAGTGTTTGAAAACATCCAAAATCTTGGAGATGTGTTTTAATAAATTTGTACACAGTAACACTGTATCTAGTAACACTAGTAGCAAACAATGTTCTATTGTAATGACAGACTTACTGTAGGTTCTTTCAATTTGTACTATATTAAGACATAAGATCCTATTTTATTCCAGAATTTTGAAAAACTGCTCTTTAAATACAAATTAAAAAGGCAAATAATGAACTAATCAACACGTGCATTTAAAGAACCCTTCAAATTCAGCTTAAATTCTAATTAAACCTGTGTGAAGCACACCGTGCATTACAGATGACAGATTGCAAGGCCATGCAGAAGTTTTACGTTTAAAATAAAATCACAATTCTTTCAAAATAAGGTTATAACATAGCTACAACGCAGTGCTGTCTTTCAACATTTCCAAAAGAAGTACATTTCTAGTAGAAAATAAAACGTCCCATCAAACGCTACTGAAAACAGTGGATTCATTACCTTTCTTCACAGTTGGTGGTGCTTTCTGCCTTGACATCACAGGAGGGCCTCCTGCTTCTACCCTCTCCCTCTTCATTCCTAACAGTGAGACTGCAAGGTAGTAAACAAAGCATTTGATCTACATGCAGATATCAAGCAGGAAAATTATCTGCAGTTTAGTTCATTTGAATTCACATATTTTGGAGGACTAGAGCCCACAGGGCTAAATTTACAGTTAATACGATCTGTGAGAGTAGGGCAATAAAAATTGCTTTATAGTCATCACCTACGGGGAACATATGAAAGGTCTTTTTTTAGTTCAGTCACACTTCTTATTTTGCTACCTCTCCTGCTGTCTGTAGCAAAAAAATTGTTAGCTAAGAGTTTACTTAGTCATGGTATTTTTTCAAATATGGAAATCATTAATAGTTTATTTTCCTAAGTTATCAAAGTCATAATTTGTGTTGATATACCCCCAACTTTTCTCTGACTTTGACTTTGTACAAATACAACTTTGAATTATTCTGTAATGGTTATATATTAGTCGTTTACATTTCAACTTTAAAAAATTTACAAAATCAAACTGCATTGATAATTCTGAAAATAAAAGGCACTTTTGCTCAATATTCATGACACACTGATTTCACAGTTTGAACAGTCATGTCTCTAAAGCATACAGGACTGTTGAACATGCAGTTTTCAATCTGACAAAAGCTTTCTAATTCATTCATTCATTAATTCATTGTTTTTTAACAGTTGGATACAAGCTACTTTTTTCAATTACTAAATGAATCATCCATAGTTTATTTTACTAATATATCAATGTCATCCTTTTGTTTTGTTTGTGGAGTTTTGTTTTAGCAGAAGAAGAAATTACTCTTTTCACAATTTAAAATAGTACAATGATACAATGAAGATATTTCCTAGGTGACATCACATTTTATTTCTATAATATGATAAAACTCAAGATAATTCTGCTGAAATGAAGAGTGAACACCATAATCGTCTTACGTCCTTGTTGAACTCTCAGGGATATACATTTATATGCCTCATATTCAAAACACAGGTTATTATACTGATAGATGCTTCCAACAATAATTTACAATTTTAGTTGTTTTGAAATAAGGTCATAGTTTTTCAAACCACACATAACATATAATCTATCAAAAGACTGAATAAAAAAAGACAAAACCTCACTTTGTGTAATATAAATATCAGATATGATAGAATTTCAATAAAAGGTTTACCATGCAAGCCATGTTTACCCTGCTTTCTTGGAAAAGGAAACATTTGTAAGGCTGCAAAATTAAAAGAAGACAGAAAGTCTTGAAAGTTTAATCGGAACTTTCTCCTTCTCCATAATCCTGAAAGATTTATAAGACACTTTAAACTTCATTGTGTTGTTACATTGTGCTACGGTGGTGCTATGGGTAGTGGTGCTGCCTCGCAGTTCTGTGGCCCTGGGTTCAATTTCAGATCTAGGGTGCTATTTGCATGGCGTTTGTACGTGGCCCACGTTTTTCACATGGATTTTTCTCTTGGTAGGGGTGTCCAAAAGCATCCTGGTAGATTAAATGGGAATTGCAGTCACAAGGCGGGTTATTAAATTTCGGTAACAAAATAAATTAATTGACAGTGTAGAAAAATTGAAGAAATTCCCAATTAAGTACAAAATCGTTAACTTTGGGAAAATACTGTAAGTACAAACCCCTGGTCTCTCCATGGGCAGGAGTTCCCACAAATTGTGATGGGGAGCTGCCCTCCCTGCTCACTAGTCACTGTAATGACTACTGTAATGTGATGTATGAACGCATTAAGCACAGGTTGTGCAGCAGATATTTCACTGCAGAAAATTTCCCAACGTGATGTGCATGCAGAGTTAACAAGTAAGTTTCATTTATCGGTAAAACCGCCTCGAAATCGAAAGCAATATTTCTATAGGATTAAAAGATGTATTCACAAGCCTGCTTGTTTATAATGTAATAGGGTTGCTTCACGTCACTGGTTGTTGCCTTTTTCTGAATAGCAGAATATGGCGCAGTTCATAGCTGGAAATGTAGTCTATTTTGTGATATAAATTTGAGGTTACACAAGCTTTTTTACTTTTATTGTGGTTTTAAAATGCGCTCATCATTGCTGATTCTTTTTAACCCTGAAATATAAAAATAGCATTGCAGATTCCCTTTAATTGGTTTCTTGGAAAATTGGCCCTGGTGTGAGTGTGTTTGTGTCTGTGCATGTCCTGAGACGGACTGGAATCAAACATCAGCGTCTGAACATCAGCCTCAGCTTGACTGTGTTCACAAACAAGAACAGACTGGTGGAATCTCAAGAGGAATCGTAAGAAGAAAGCTATGTCTATCAGGTAATGTCTAAAATGATAATGATAAGAGTGACAAGTATGTTTGCACGATTATTAATAAGTTAAATTTCATTCAGTTAATAAGCACCTGGGCAATTTGTAGACACATACCATATACTGTAGTTCATTCCTGTGTCACAAGTTTGTTATCAATTAAAGTCACTGCCATATTATTGAAATTGAAACTCACATATTAATTTTCTTGTTTATGTATGTCACAGTCACCCCCATATTGATAACACATTTGCTATGTTTTATAGAATTGCATATTTAGAAATTATACCTGTTGTACTGCATGTTGAAAAGATTAGTACAAATTCAGAATATTCACAATTCAGTGTGAAGAGTTTAAGCCATTTTTGCAGCTATGTTTCCGTTCGTAAAATTCTTCTCTTATCCTTACATTGTTCTTTCAAAGAAAAATACTAGCAGTGAGATTTCTTGGTTAATAATTTCAGATAACACAATCTTGCAATACATTTTTTGTGTTTTTTTAAAAGATGTTATAAGATGAAGCAAACACTTGTACCCAATCTGTGAAAAACAGATATCCCTGGTGCATACATCCCAAGTGATGCACATCTTGTAAACACTACCTCTCTAATGGCTTTAGGTTTTTCTTCACCATAATTAAGATGAGACAAGGTTTCTCACCAGGTGCAAAAGCAGCTTTTCTTCTTTTGAATGTCATTAAAACCTAGTGAGACTTTCAAACCAGTCTGTAGCCAAAACAATTAACATTCAGAGATCTTAATAACTAGTTGTGAAACATTAGTAGGGTTTAATTAAGATTAAAGTTGGGAATGGCATTTTAATCCTAACACAAGCACCACTGCCAGAAAAGAGGAAACCATCTGGGGTTGTTTCCTCTATGCCACAGACTGGTGCTCAGAAGATTCCCAGTGTAGCTCGTTATTTAGCTACACCTAATCCTCCTGGCGTGGGTGCTTATCAACCTTTGCCGGTTAGAAATTCAACGGGAAAGAGATTTAAAAAAACAATGTTGATAAATCCTAACTCCTGTAACTTGGCTTTTACGCGACGTGCCACATAAAAGTCATGTCAGAAGAAACATTTTCAAAAAACCAAGCCCATGAGCCCTCTTGGGCCTTATCAGTGCTTTTCCCAACATTAAGTATCCATGGTAGACGGAAGCCCAGAGCTTCAACTTCTTCGTGAGGTTCATATTTTGAATCCTCCTTCTCACAACACTTCTATTTTTCCAGTTTTTACCATTCAGCCTATAGACCTCTATAAGGCCATGAACGCAAAATCTGGATTTCTGAACTAGTGTCCCTAGCCAGAAATGTATTTTGCATTTTGCTTCAAAACCCGATGGGAGGGGGGACACAGAAGGAAAAAATGTAATCTCATCTGATATTTAAAATGGAAGTTACGAAAAAATGATGTGTTTTAAGATCACATGGCTTCAGCCATCATTTCTACGCTGATGATACTCAAATATACATCCATACCAAACCTGACACTGATGTGGCTGTCTCTATTCTATCTAATTGCATCTGTGACATAATAACTTGGATGACTCAAAATTTCCTTCATCTTAACTGTGACAAGACTGAAGTCATGCTTATCGGCACCCCCCATCAACTTCGTAAAGCCAATCCTGTAACCCTATCTGTAGATGGTTCTGTACTTGAGCTTCAGACTAAATTGAAAAACCTTGGGGTGATATTCGATTCTGGCTTAACATTCGACCCACATGTGCAGCATTTTGTCAAAACATATTTTTTTCACATATCGCTAGACTACGCCCAATGCTATCACTAACTGTCGCTGAAAAGCTGATCAACACATTTGAGTTCTCTTGAATTGACTACTGTAATGCTCTACTCGCTGGGGTATCTAAATCTACTCTGAACAAACTGCAGTATGTCCAAAATTCAGCAGCCAGAATCCTGACCAGGTCTAGTGCAAGTGGTCACATTATTCCTATCCTGGAGTCCTTGCACCGGCTTCCTGTCAAATTCCGTGTGGACTTTAAAATCCTCATGCTCACCTATAAGGCTCTGCATGGCTGGGCACCTCAGTACCTGTCTGAACTATTATCGCCTTACTTCCCACCTTGCAACCTTCACTCTTCTAATTCTGCCCTCCTTACTGTCCCCCAAGCCCGTCTACATTGTATGGGCGACAGGGCCTTCTCCTGCTAAGCCCCCAAGCTCTGGAACTCTCTGCCCAAGGATATCAGAGAGTCACCTTCTCTAAACTCCTTCAAATCCAGACTCAAAACCTTCTTCTTTAGAAGAGCCTTTACTTAACTGGTTCCATTCTTCACCCCTCTGCTTTTTCTAGTACCACCATCCACGGTCTCCTCTGTATATTGTAATTGTGTTTCATCTTGTGTATTCTTTTTATTATTTACTGTTGTTCTCATTCTGTAAAGCGCTTTGAGAAGCCACCTTTAAAGGCGCTATATAAAATAAAGTTGACTATTTTTATTATTATACTCTTTTCCTAGAGACTTGTTAGGTGCAAATAATTTAACTTCTTGCCCCAGGTCCGCACGATTCCCGGATGTTAAGAGCTGCCAGGAGCAGTTGCTCACAGGAGAAAAAAAGAACGAGCGGATCTGTCTGGACAACATACCAGGAGCAGCTGCAGCAGCAGCACCAGCAGAAGCAGCAGGCATTGGACCCTCGGTTCCCGGCGTCCTGCGGGGCCCGTGCAGCGCTCGGCAGCTCCTGCTGGCCCGACATCTGCCGCTTGCGCATCTCCATCCACTCCGATCCCATGGGCTGCCGCAGGGGAGAGAAAAAAGCTATGTCTTCAGTGAAGGAAACTGCAGCTGAAGGGTGAGTTAGCTATGGATAGGTTACAGGCAAAGTATCCAATTCTTAGCTTTCGGGCACTGTATACAATCCCTAGCTTGTGTGCATAATGCCTGGCAGTTACAGGTTAAGTCTGAAATATTAAGATTTTGCTTGTGTCTATAGAGTATTCTACAGAGTGCCAAGAATGAATTGGGTGCAATGTTAATTTTACAGACACAGGCCAACACTACTGTAACACAAATATGTGGTTTAGTAAGCTAGGAATTAAAAGCATTTGAAATGAAAGACCGGAAGATGAAAAAGTATGAGTGATCATTGAAGGGTAGACAAAACACTCCTACTTACAAAAGTCCAAAATGGAAATAACGCAATGATGAGAACCCCAATATTCTGGAAGAACGCGCTTAGGTTTTAAAAACCTTTTTTCTGCAACACGATAAACTTGAAGGACAATTAGATCGGCAAAACTTTGTTAGTAACACAAAAGTATTTTATCCTTTGACACATAGTTTTGCAAGAGCATTGCACAGCAGAGTAATTCTGATATTGATTTCTGAGTAGAAACAGACTTAAGTCATATTTTTATCACTTATCATCAGAGCTTTAGAAACTTTTTGCACATGGAATAATAGAACTGGAGTACAACTGCCAAAGAATCCATCACTTGTTACTTCACCAACTACAGTGAATATATTAATTTAATCTCTGTGGCCTCTATCAACTTTAGAGACTTTAACTGTAGATCTTTGTTCTACTGAAGGAAGTTGTTGTCAGATGATTTTTTTCATACTTTTCGCTTGGTCTGTGAGATACAGTAATCCTTGGTATCATCTTGAGGACTAATGAATTTCTGTTTTACAGCACAATTAATCCAAATTTTGTGCACCATACCCGTAATTTTCGTCAGAATGTATTCTATAAATGACATGAAAGTGATATCCACAGTCCTGACACTGATGAGAATCACTACATTTCTTTAAGCAAAAATACACAGAATTTTTCTGGGCCATTGTTCACACTTCATGGCCCACCATCTGTCCTCACATTACGATGAAGCTTTAAAGTAAAGCCCTCTCTTTCTTTGTGTCATCATTCTTTGAGAACCCACGTCTAAGCTTTAGAAATAATTCTACTTTTAATTTTGAGATCATGATGTCTGGTTTTGTATTTTATCTTGCTTCTTAACTTTACATCTTCTGATATACTGCTTGCTCAGATCCTTGTTCTCTTTTGAAATCCAAGTCATGCCAAATATTGTTTAATTGTTGACTATTAGTATAAAATTTAAAACAAACGTCTTAAACAATTCATATTATATATAAAATCATAAAATATTATATTAAAATACAGAACAGCATTTTTAGAAGCTGTCTTGCATTTGTTCTTGTTAGTTTACTTCCAGTTCTCAATAAATGATCTTCCTGTACTTTGAGGAATACTGTTTCCTCTAGTGCTTACATTTTTTACATACTGCTGTATATTGCAATTAAGTAATTTAGGTGGTATATTTTAATCTTTTTATTCACAGGATCCTCTTGGACCAGACAAACCTTATGATGGGCTGTTACTATTTATTTTAAAATTAATAAAATAGTTACAGGTCTCATGTCAAAGGTCATCCACCCATTGTACAGCATGTTTTTAGAGTCCACAACTGGAAGCCCACTAAAGCTCAGCAGGTGTGAGCCTGGTCAGTACCTGGATGAGAGACCTCCTGGGAAAAACTAAGGTTGCTCCTGGAAGAGGTGTTAGTTGGTCAGTAAGGGGTGCTCGACCTGCAGTCTGTGTGGGTCCTAATGCCCCAGTATAGTGATGGGCTCCATGCTTCAGCTGAGATGTAAAAATTAGGTCCTGTCTGTGGTTAATAAAAATCCCAGGGCAATTCTCAAAAAAGCCCTGGCATCCTGGCCAGATTTCCCGTTGGTCTTTACCAGTCATGGCCTCCTAATAATCCCCATCTATGAATTGGCTTCATCACTCTGTTCTCCTCCCCACTAATTGCTGATGTGTGGTAAGCAGACTGGCGCATTATCCAGGTGGGGCTGCACATTGGTGGTGGTGGAGGGGAGTCCCCTTTACCTGTAAATCGCATTGAGTGGAGCATCCATGAAAAGAGCTATATAAGTGTAAGGAATTATTTTTATTATAAATATGACCTGCAGTATATGCACTTAGAAAGATGACCCCACAACAAGTTTGTTACTCAATAAAAATAAATAGTAAAACTGAAGACAACTGGTCAGAACAAAGTGCACCTGTGTCAGAAAAAAAAAACTTTTAATATATCATCAAGTATTATGCCCCTAAGTGCAAACTTTATACCTTTTATAAGATGCAATAAAAAAAATCTATAATTCCTTAAAGGTGTTAAATCTGTGTTGCCAATGTCTTGTTTATAATGGAAACCCAGAACTAAGCCAGTACATAGTATTGATAATTCCAATTATTAATATAATTTCCATTCTATTGGAATTCCAATTACGGTATTGGAACTATTCCAATTGATTGTTCCCACATTTCAATTGATAACGATTATCTTTCATTATTCATTTCATGGCGGTACTGAAGAGACCATAAATTCTGCCAACTGCTGAATTTGAATACATGTTGAATACATGGTACATGATATTGACCACATCTTGAGCCAAGGATCCCTCACCACAAACTCAGCTGTGGGGTTAATGCTGGGAGGATGTGCAGGTGTTCATGATAAGAATAGGGGCCGCATGGTGGCATGTATTCTCTCCCTGTGGTCATGTGGGTTTCCTCTGGGTGCTCTGGTTTCTGCCCACCAGTCCACAGACACACTGGAAGCTTAATTAGCTTATGGGAAAACTGGCCCTGGTGTGAGTGTGTGTGTGTCTCTGTTTGTGTTTGCCTGTGCCCCGTGATGGACTGTCCTGTCCAGGGTGTATCCTTCATTGTGCCCATTGCCTGCCTGACTCTCCTGCAACCCCGCACTGGATAAAGCAGCTAGAAATTGGATAGATGGATTATAGTTATATCAATATGAGTTATGGAAAAGCCCATTTTATGTTCAGTACCGATTCAGGTATTGGCTTGGGCCACCAGCTCAGGCTCAGACCACCTGTCTATAGGTTCTGCAATGTTTAATAGTTTTCAGAACCCAGGCCAGGTTTTCAGGTTGTTTAGAGTGTCTCCTGTGACTACCAATTCTTATGTTGACCCAAGCATCAGGATGGCCTGAGAGAGAAATGAAAAATTGGTTCTGACCAGTATTAGTCACATACAATGAACCTTGTTTCTTTGAGGGAGATACAATTAGGTAACATGCCCAAAACAGTCAAGTCAAAGAAGGTCGGACATAACTAGGATCATTCCCAGGGCTCAAAGTGCTTTGTGAAGCTACCTATAAAGGTGCTACATAAATTAAAGTTATTGTAATTAATAAACTCTAAAGCACAATAAAATAACAGCAATATATTACATCATTGATGCACAATAATAACACATAACCACATTTAGGATAGCATTAAGGGATGACTTTGTCCAAATTATTTTTTTCTCAAACTCATCTCAAAAGTGTTCTTAAAAAATATAAACTGATTCCTAGAGCATGCAGTTGTGTTTATGTATCTATGTGTGTTTGTAAAAAGGTTGGTAAACTTGGTAGATGAAGTATCTTAAACTGTCACACTACTGTGTATCGTACTCGAATGATATTGAAACAGCATACAAAAATCTAAGTCTTCTCAGAACAATTTCGCTTAATTGGTCACAGTGGTAAACTATTGTAACATTCAAATGAATTTTTCTTATGTTACATAAAATATCAGCAAATAACATTTACAATAGTTAAGAACGGACAAGCCTCCAACCCAAAATATGCTGTTTGAATTTGCTTCTTGTGGTTTAGCAAACTGCCTGAGCTGGACTACTAACTGCTTTGATAGTGTTCTTAGGGTCACACAAGTACATTGTAGGTATTTCACATGGTCCAGATTTGCTTGTAGTGGGAAGAGGCAAGAACACATGAATCCCCTCTGACTACAAAGCCCGATCACTGCTGGTGAACACAGGAGACACAGGCATTGCAACCTGTACTTGTACCTACAGCAAACCAAATGTATTTCTGGCTATTGTAATCCTCTATCATTCTATATAAAGGCTATATATTAATAAACTGAATGCTTATCCTGTTTTAGAGTGCTCAAATTTGCCTTCTGAGTTAAAATGTTCTCAATATTTAAAAAGTGACTCATTAGATATTTCATTGAGGAAGTGACTGTATTGCTTCTATATATTACTATTTCAATTCAAAATAATTACAGATAAGCACAAGATATTATGAATCTAAGTTAGTACAAAATTATATCCCTCTATACTTGTATGAACAAGATTCCATCATGAAATATATCAAAGTGATAATCAGATATCTAATCTGATCTAATCTATTTGAGGACAGTAATGTAGCTAATTTCTCGACTTTGCATGCCCATGCAAGTAAGAACTCTAATGTGTTTTAGTTCTTCATTAGCTTGATTTTATGATGATTCCCTTATAGTATTTGAAACTCAGTGCTCTTGGAGCTTGCTATTTACCCAAGACATTATACACTAAATTAAAGTAAATATTAATTAGAATAAAACACTTAAAAGGTGCTCTGTTTCAAAGGAAAATCCTGTATTATTATCTTTTTATGTGTACTTGTAACATAAAGACTCAAAACATCAATATATTACTACTAACTGAGTCTCAGCGTTTTGGAATGGGTTAACCATCATGTGTTCCTTAAATAAATTGAAATTGTAGACCCTTCCCTAATCAATATTATTTAAGACAAAAAGCAGCATCAGAATTGCAGGTTAGCCAGGGGCCCGGTGGTTATTAATGTAAGTCACACAAGGGAACTGCTGTTTAGTAACGGCTAATTAATCCTTCATTTAAGTAGGGAGAGCAAGAATGCAATGCCTACCACAGAAAACACACAACCATGATGCCGT